TCTAGTTCTGTTCTAGTTTCTGTTCTAGTTCTGGATCTATTCTGTTCTAGTTATGTTCTAATTCCGTTCTAGTTCTGTTCTAGTTCTAGTTCTGTTCTAGTTTTGTTTCTAGTTCTGTTCTAGTTCTGTTCTAGTTCTGTTCTAGTTCTGTTCTAGTTCTGTTCTAGTTCTGTTCTAGTTCTGTTCTAGTTCTGTTTAGTTCTGTTCTAGTTCTGTTCTAGTTATGTTCTAGTTCTGTTCTAGTATGTTCTAGTCTGTTCTAGTTCTTTTCTAGTTCTGTTCTAGTTCTTTTCTGGTTCTGTTATTAAAATTTTTCTTCAATTATTTATAATTTTATTTCTAAGAATATATTTTTTAGGCCTTTTTATAAGAATTTATTAGCCTATTTTAAGGCATTTCGCTGTAATTTGAATTTTTTATTTAGCGTTTGAACAAAATCATTTCCCTTTTTCTTCTACATAAATCTTTTTAATTTAAAGCCAGAAGTGTAGAATCATATTTTTGTGGCATAAATATAACACAATTACATGTCTATAAAGCCTACATTTTTTGGCGTACTTAACAGGAAATCCCTTTTTCAAAATGTATGTTTGGAAGGAATATTTGCCACGATTTTGTAGAGTTTATAATAAACTATTTTTAGTTTGTAAAACGTTTAAATTATAAAAAATATAACTCTAGGGTGCTTTAAGCAAACATCACCTGACACTGTCTAAAAGTTACAATTGTTTTTTTCTAATATTTATTTGCGTATTATTTGTAGCATACTTTAAGCGCTGAAAAGAATTTAGCACTTGAAAATTTCAAAAACACGGGTGGGGCAAAACAAATTTCCTAAATGTATATAAAGAGAGCGAAAATTTGCTTTGTTTTATAGCATAGTTTTAGGTGTTTCAGGAAATTCACTCAACTAAACAATAATTTAGTTATTTGAGTATTTTAGTATAAACTATTAGTATATTTTCCAAATACCTTTATCATAAACTTGTTGAGTGTTTATTCCACTACTACACCTCTAAAACAGACATAATATCCTTCCTGTTTGTGTGTGTGTATGAGTTTCCTGGCAATGATGGATTAAGCCTTTGAGCGCGTGTTGCTAAAATATTTATTATTATGAAAATTTATATAACTATAATGGTATCTTGTATAAAACAGGTATTGTCAATAATTGGCTATTGTAGTTATAGAGGTGTTGTACTGCATAACACAAACCATTGCCTACTTTAAGGCTTAATATTTAACTTTATGGTTAAGGCAGTTAGAAATTTTGCCTCTTATATGATTTTGTGCATATTTAATGGGAAACAACAAGCCTGAGGTTTACTAAACCAATTCTTTTGTTTAAATTATACTTTTAAAAGAGTATACTTTACGGGGCTCACATTTTTTTTTGGAAAAGTGTGTGTTAAATCAACCTTAAACATGATAGATTTGGGCAAATTTTAAGTTTTTTAAATAATTCACATAAACTTTTAAGTTTTAAGGGTTAAAAGTGTTAACAACTTGAAGTATGATTAATTGATTTATATATGTTAAAGCATACTTTAAGAATGTTTAATTAATAATTTATCAAGCATACTTTAAGGCTGTTACAAACTTAAATTTTTAAACCAAATTTCTACTGCTATTCTTATCTACCAACTCACTTGCTCACGAGTATGTATATTAACAATTTACATCTTCCCGACATGTTTCATTCAATATGGATTTTTAATTTTCAAGCGGAAAAAAATCACCAATCTCATGCCATAATTTTTGGTCATGATTCGTGAAAAAAAAAACAGCTGAATGCTGAACAGTGGTTAAATGGAAATGATGATGATGATTTTGATGATATGCAATATTTGCGAAACTTAACAAATGTACACCTGCCATAGTTTTACAAACTACAGCTACAAATAAAGCAATTTATCGTGTTTAAAAAGAAAAAAGACCTAGAAAAATTAACAAAAAATTAAAGACATATTACCAGTTTAAGTGATTTCAATTCACCCTAAAATATGCAATCTATTTAACTAAACTAAGAAGTATGCTACACATAATGCATTAAATATTATTCTCTTTATATTCTCTGAATTTTCGTGCTGAACTATAGATACTCTTAAAGTATAATTTTCAAAATTCTCGTAAAATATATTTTCTAGGAATTATTCAAACTTTTTCTACATGCATCCACCCGACTAAGCCTTTGTTTTTTTTTTTTTTTTTGTTAGTTCGCAAAAGTATACTCTAAATATTGTTTATTTTTATTGAGTTAACAACTGCTATATTATCTTTTCTGGTAAATATAACAAGTTGTCTAAATTTATGCAATTTGTATTTCTAAATTTTACAAGAGTTGCTTTATATTTCAATAAAATTTTGTTAATAAAAGTTTATATGTAAACAAAAAACATTGTTTTGAGTGCTTAAAAGTATGCAGTAAAAAACAGATAATAATAATTTCTTAATAATTGTTTTTAAACCAGACATAACTAGGACTGAACTAGAACAGAACTAGAACAGAACTAGAACAGAACTAGAACAGAACTAGAACAGAACTAGAACAGAACTAGAACAGAACTAGAACAGAACTAGAACAGAACTAGAACAGAACTAGAACAGAACTAGAAAACAGAACTAGAACAGAACTAGAACAGAACTAGAACAGAACTAGAACAGAACTAGAACAGAACTAGAACAGAACTAGAACAGAACTAGAACAGAACTAGAACAGAACTAGAACAGACTAGAACAGAACTAGAACAGAACTAGAACAGAACTAGAACAGAACTAGAACAGAACTAGAACAGAACTAGAACGAACTAGAACAGAACTAGAACAGAACTAGAACAGAACTAGAACAGAACTAGAACTAGAACAGAACTAGAACAAAACTAGAACAGAACTAGAACAGAACTAGAACAGAACTAGAACAGAACTAGAACAGAACTAGAACAGAACTAGAACAGAACTAGAACAGAACTAGAACAGAACTAGAACAGAACTAGAACAGAACTAGAACAGAACTAGAACAGAACAGAACTAGAACAGAACTAGAACAGAACTAGAACAGAACTAGAACAGAACTAGAACAGAACTAGAACAGAACTAGAACAGTACTAGAACAGAACTAAAACAGAACTAGAACAGAACTAGAACAGAACTAGAACAGAACTAGAACAGAACTAGAAACTGAACTAGAACAGAACTAGAACAGAACTAGAACAGAACTAGAACAGAACTAGAACAGAACTAGAACAGAACTAGAACAGAACTAGAACAGAACTAGAACAGAACTAGAACAGAACTAGAACAGAACTAGAACAGAACTAGAACAGAACTAGAACAGAACTAGAACAGAACTAGAACAGAACTAGAACAGAACTAGAACAGAACTAGAACAGAACTAGAACAGAACTAGAACAGAACTAGAACAGAACAGAACAGAAACTAGAACAGAACTAGAACAGAACTAGACAGACAGAACTTTTTTAGAACTAGAATCTAGAACAGAACTAGAACAGAACTAGAACTAGAAAGAACTAGAACAGAACTAGAACAGAAACTAGAACAGAACTAGACAGAACTAGAACAGAACTAGAACAGAACTAGAACAGAACTAGAACAGAACTAGAACAGAACTAGAACTAGAACTAGAACTAGCACAGAACTAGAACAGAACTAGAACAGAACAGAACCGAAACTAGAACAGAACTAGAACAGAACTAGAACAGAACTAGAACAGAACTAGAACAGAACTAGAACAGAACTAGAAACAGAACTAGAACAGAACTAGAACAGAACTAGAACAGAACTAGAACAGAACTAGATACAGAACTAGAACAGAACTAGAACAGAACTAGAACAGAACTAGAACAGAACTAGAACAGAACTAGAACTTAGAACAGAACTAGAACAGAACTAGAACAGAACTAGAACAGAACCTAGAACAGAACTAGAACAGATCTAGAACAGAACTAGAACAGAACTAGAACAGATCTAGAACAGAAACTATAACAAAAGTAGAACACAACTAGAACGGAACTAGAAGAGAACCAGAACAGAACATAACTAGAACACAACTAGAGCAGAACTAGAACAAAACTAGAACAGAAATAATAGAACTGAACTAATGCTTATTTAGCCTATACTGCAGACTACAGTCTAGTCTATAGTCTGAATTAAATATCTGGAAAATTTACTAATTTTATAATTCTGCCCTTAGGACCTTTTACAACTCAACACAAAATTTTAATTCTATTTGTTCACACACAGAAAAAAAAACGAAACTATTGTCCCCCATGTACTTGTACTTCAGCAACATTTTAGGCAATTTTATTGCATTTTAAAACTAGACTAGTTTTTGGCTATAGTCGTTTCGAGGTTTTCATCATCAAGCCATGGTATTTAAATGTCTCTAGATAAATGAGTATCAGTGTAGCACTAACCAACATATGACTGCTGTTGGTTTTCCCATTCATTAAAATTTTTTAGTGGAAAATTGTTGAGCGTATAACAATAGCTGCAGCAGCAGTGGAAACACCACCTACTGCAATCATAACAAATAGCCAGACCATCTGTATCCATGTAGACTTTGTAATTGTGGTGATGATTTGATGTCTGTTGATGATGTTGTTTTAATGCATGTTTTTGTTTCTCTTACAATTGGTTGGTCATGAAATGTAAAATCAAAATTGGTTCAAGTTGAACTTCAAATTCATTTTTGTTACCTAAGGCCACAGTATAAATTAAATTATGATGATTTTTTAAAGGTTTTGTTTTTGATGAACTTTTAGGTGTAGGTTTAAATAAAATTTATTGAAGGTAGTGGGTATTTCATGAGACTGAAGTTAATTGCTAAAACTTGTTCATGGATAACAAAAGATAATTTCCCCTAACTGTAGGCAGCAGTTTAAATTATAAAATATTTTATAAAATTAAATCCTAACAGTATACTACATATATAAAGCCTTGAAATATGCTTTCATTTTTATATTTCACACCCTTTTTATTCATATAGCCAATTTATTAAACTCAATATTTTTTTAGGTTTCCGCTTCCGGTAAAGGTGTCTTGATTACTGGCTGTGAAGCTCCCATTGCTTGGTATTTGGCTAAAAAATTAGATGATTTGGGCTTTACTGTTTACGCCGGTTTCAACACCCCCATCGAAGATTCTGATGAAGCTAAAATTTTAAAAGAAGAAACTTCCGGTCGCATGAAATGCATTTACCTCGATGTTACCTCAGAAAAAAACTGTAAGTTTTATATAAATATACCAAAAAAGCTTTATATTTTTATTAAACTTTTGAACCTTAATAGCTTTTGGAAGCCGCCTTGTTTGTCTCCGAACATTTGCCACACAATTCTCATGGTGTCCCCGCTAAAGGTTTGTGGGCTTTGATTCATTGTGCCCACTGGGTGGCTTTGGGTGAATTGGAATGGATTCCATTTGCTGTATTGCGCAAGTCTTTGGATTTGAATTTGCTAGGTATGTGTATAGGAAAAACTTGTATAGTTAAAGCTTTTTGGTAAAGTTTTATTTGAATAAGTTCTAATCATTTGTAATTTTTCCAACAGGTGCCGCTCGTTTGACTCAATTGATGTTGCCATTGTTGCGTGGTGGTCACGGTCGTGTTGTTTTCATGACTTCTGGTAAGTTTTGTAATTAGACTACACTTTTGCTAGAACAAGAACAAAACTAGAACAAAACTAGAAAAAAGCTAGAACAGAACTAGAACAGAACTAGAACCAGAACTAGAACAGAACTAGAACAGAACTAGAACAGAACTAGAACAGAACTAGAACAGAACTAGAACAGAACTAGAACAGAACTAGAACAGAACTAGAACAGAACTAGAACAGAACTAGAACAGAACTAGAACAGAACTAGAACAGAACTAGAACAGAACTAGAACAGAACTAGAACAGAACTAGAACAGAACTAGAACAGAACTAGAAACTAGACTAGAACAGAACTAGAACAGAACTAGAACAGAACTAGAACAGAACTAGAACAGAACAGAACTAGAACAGAACTAGAACAGAACTAGAAAGAACTAGAACAGAACTAGAACAGAACTAGAACAGAACTAGAACAGAACTAGAACAGAACTAGAACAGAACTAGAACAGAACTAGAACAGAACTAGAACAGAACTAGAACAGAACTAGAACAGAACTAGAACAGAACTAGAAACAGAACTAGAACAGAACTAGAACAGAACTAGAACAGAACTAGAACAGAACTAGAACAGAACTAGAACAGAACTAGAACAGAACTAGAACAGAACTAGAACAGAACTAGAACAGAACTAGAACAGAACTAGAACAGAACTAGAACAGAACTAGAACAGAACTAGAACAGAACTAGAACAGAACTAGAACAGAACTAGAACAGAACTAGAACAGAACTAGAACAGAACTAGAACAGAACTAGAACAGAACTAGAACAGAACTAGAACTAGAGCAGAACTGGAACAGAGCAGAAGTAGAAACTAGAAATGTATTTGGAAGAGAGCTAAACTAGAATATAACAACATTTTATTGTAGCCCCTATAACTAGGCAATGAATTTTAATATTTCAATTATTATTTTTATTTATTTCTCTTTTTGCTGTTTCTAATTTGTTGTTTTTTTTCTACTTTGAAATTCTTTTAAAGGTCTCAACAAAATCCCTGCACCTGTACGTGGTATTCAATGTGCCACCCAAGCTGCTATTGAATCATTTGCTGGTTGTTTGCGCCAAGAAATGCGTCCACGTGGTGTTGATGTCTCTGTTGTGTCTTCTAGTGAATTTGCTCCTGGTAATGGTTGGCTTAATGAAACCGATCTACGTGAACAGGTAAATAACAAAGAACAAATAAAATATGGAAGTTATTTTTATTAAAATTAGTAACTTTTAAAGACTAAAGAAACCACCAGCATATGGCTGCAGCTAGTTGCTAGGTATTTAATTACAAACTTGATAGATAAAGTATTTAGAAAAAAATTCCAGGTATAACAATGGCTAATGGATGGAAAAGAGAATAGAAAAATATGTGTGTTTTTAAAAGAGTTTACATTACAAGGTCATCTTCATAATTAACTTTGTAGAAAACCAAATGATAAACAATGTTAGAAAACTTGGGCATAAATGCCAACACAGCAGCACAAATACATTCCATGGTAACGTGGGATTTAGTAGACATGCATGTTCTGGCTTTAAGGCGGTATAAACTAAAGAGATTGTGGTCTACAGCATACTCATGTTCTATATTCTAGCCATGGTGTTAAATTCTCATTATAATGTCTGGCAGAACAAATAAGGAAACTTTTTTGTCTTTATTTCTTTTTTTTTATAGTTTTAGTTTATTATGAACTTTTTATGGAAGAATTAAACAACCTTTTAGCTCATATGTTACATTTAAAAATGGCTTGAACAAATGAATATTAAATATTGAAAGCCTAACAGTAGCATACTTTAAGGGGTTTGAAGACAATTAAAAATTCTTAACACAACTGTTAGTAAATGGTAATTATAAAGCAAATATGTTATGCTTATAGTAGCAGACCTAATTAAGATTTATTTACAAATATTTATAAAACATTTAGTTAATGATGTTTTTATTAGCATAACCTTAGGCTAATATACATATGTATATAGTTGTTTAGATTGATTTGTGGTTAATTAAGGAACTACACGCAAGTTCGTCAAGTTTTGAAAATCCCGCAATTTTGAAACAGTACTAATCATGTGTAAAATGGAAATTTGTGTAGGAAGCAATGTCTGAACAAATCTTGTTTGCATTTAAGTAAGTTCAGTTCTAGTTCAGTTCTAGCTCAGTTCAAGTTCAGTTGTAGTTCAGTTCTAGTTCAGTTCTAGTTCAGTTCTAGTTCAGTTCTAGTTCAGTTCTAGTTCAGTTCTAGTTCAGTTCTAGTTCAGTTCTAGTTCAGTTCTAGTTCAGTCAGTTCAGTTCAGTTCTAGTTCAGTTCTAGTTCAGTTCTAGTTCAGTTCTAGTTCAGTTCTAGTTCAGTTCTAGTTCAGTTCTAGTTCTAGTTCAGTTCTAGTTGTTCAGTTCTAGTTCAGTTCTAGTTCAGTTCTAGTTCAGTTCTAGTTCAGTTCTAGTTAGTTCAGTTCTAGTTCAGTTCTAGTTCAGTTCTAGTTCAGTTCTAGTTCAGTTCTAGTTCAGTTTCTAGTTCAGTTCTAGTTCTGTTCTAGTTCTGTTCTAGTTCTGTTCTAGTTCTGTTCTAGTTCTGTTCTAGTTCTGTTCTAGTTCTGTTCTAGTTCTGTTCTAGTTCTGTTCTAGTTCTGTTCTAGTCTGTTCTAGTTCTGTTCTAGTTCTGTTCTAGTTCTGTTCTAGTTCTGTTCTAGTCTGTTCTAGTTCTGTTCTAGTTCTGTTCTAGTTCTGTTCTAGTTCTGTTCTAGTTCTGTTCTAGTTCTGTTCTAGTTCTGTTCTAGTTCTGTTCTAGTTCTGTTCTAGTTCTGTTTTAGTTCTGTTCTAGTTCTGTTCTAGTTCAGGTTTCACTTCTAGTTCAGTTCTGTTCTAGTTCTGTTCTAGTTCTGTTCTAGTTCTGTTCTAGTTCAGTTCTAGTTCTGTTTTAGTTCTGTTCTAGTTCTGTTTTAGTTCTGTTCTAGTTCTGTTCTAGTTCTATTCTAGTTCTGTTCTAGTTCTGCTCTAGTTCAGTTCTAGTTCTGTTCTAGTTCTGTTCTAGTTCTATTCTAGTTCTGTTCTAGTTCTGTTCTAGTTCTGTTCTAGTTCTGTTCTAGTTCTGTTCTAGTTCTGTTCTAGTTCTGTTCTAGTTCTGTTCTAGTTCTGTTCTAGTTCTGTTCTAGTTCTGTTCTAGTTCTGTTCTAGTTCTGTTCTAGTTCTGTTCTAGTTCCAGTTCTGTTCAGTTCTGTTCTAGTTCTGTTCTAGTTCTGTTTTAGTTCTGTTCTAGTTATATTGCAGTTCTGTTCTAGTTCTGTTCTTGTTCTATTCTAGTTTTATTGCAGTTCTGTTCTAGTTCTGTTGAGGTTCTATTCCAGTTCTGTTCTACATTACTTTTAGTTCGCTTTCTTTATATTTTCTTTTATGAACCAGTTTTCTTAAAATACAATAAAAACAAAGGGATTAAACTTATACTTAAAACATTGTTTACTGCTTACATTACGGGGTTTCTTAATATAAATAAAACTTTAGCATAACTCAAGGCGAAAAAGTATTTACTCTATTTCTGTTTACATTATTATTGTGTTTAATACCTTTGTTATATTAACTTTATTTAATTTCTTATTTGTCTTTTTTATTCCATTTGCAGGCTAAAGAAATGTGGTCGCAATTAACCTACGAACAAAAGAAAACTTATGGTGAGGATTATTATGAAGCTGCCATGACAGCTGTCGAAAAATATTCCAGAGAAGTAAGTATCTGCTAAAGCGAATATAATAACAAACATATTAAGGATTTATTTAATGCCATAACATTTTATTTTATTTATTTCAACAGGCTGCCGATATTCAACCCACTTTGCGTGTCTTAATTGATGCTGTCACCCGCACCTTCCCCATGGCCCGTTACACACCAGTTACCCCCCAAGGAAAAGATACAAATCTTTATGGCAGATCATTTGGCTCCATCTTTGTACGAAATGTTATTTGGTGTGCCCAGGAAATAGATTGGGACGAGGCTGCCGTCTAACGCTTTGAATTTGAAAAGTCAACCAAGAGAACAATGTAAATGTAGAAATTAGAAAGCAACATTTTGTTTGGAAAATTTTTATGTTTTGTATACGAGAGTAAAAAAAAAAATAATAGCATTTTTAATTAGCATTTATGCCAGTAAAATATTTTTTTGTTTTTTTAACGATTTTATTTACTTTTTTTAATTTATTAAGTTTTGTTTTTACTTAATTTTTAAAACTTTTTGTTATATTTTTCTTTCTAATTTTTAAAATAAATTAAATAAAACTTATTCTTAACAATAATTTTAAATAAAAACTCGGAAACTGTGTAATTTTTTTGAAATTGTTAAGTGGATTTAACTACATATGCATTTACCCCCGAAACGTATGCTATAGTATTTCGAAATTGTTCCCTAATCTTGCAAATACCATCAAATATTTCACAACCAATAATAAAACAACAAAAACTTATGAAATAATTGTAAAAATTCATAAATATTTAAAGACTTAAGTGCTGGCTGTTTATTGGCCACTTGCTACAGCTGCTCTTCTTAAAACATATTCAACAAAAATGCATAACGAAGGTGGCTGTAGCTGAGGAAGTAGTTTCCAAAATGTGACTGTTGTTTTGCACTTAAAATGATTATAGTATTATTAATGCATCAGACAAGTGCTGCATAGTATTATCTTTCAAAAAATGTCTCGTTTTATAATATAAACCCAACTAAAGCCGTTTAGTATGCTTTGTCATTCTTGGTTTTTAGTGCGACTTCGTTCGTTTGCATATTTTCAGGCAAATATCTTGTATATATATATTTTAAGTATATTTTATTCGGTTACCTTGTGCGGTTTCTTGTCTAACAGAATTCACCTTTATTAAAATTGATTTTAAAGTGCAAGAAAAATATTTTACTTTTTCACAAATAAAATTGTATAAAATATTCAACAAGTTTCTTATTTTTATTTTTCAAACAAATTTTTCTATCAAAAGTTTTTGGGGTTTTTTTTGTTGATTTGGAACAAATATACATATAACAGTGTTTGTGAAATTTATGTGCCAAATATACTGTGTGGGTAATATAAAGGAGGCCAGCTCAAGAAACCATAAAAAAGTTCAATTCAAGCTGTTGTTCTAGTTCTGTTCTAGTTCTGTTCTAGTTCTGTTCTAGTTCTGTTCTAGTTCTGTTCTAGTTCTGTTCTAGTTCTGTTCTAGTTCTGTTCTAGTTCTGTTCTAGTTCTGTTCTAGTTCTGTTCTAGTTCTGTTCTAGTTCTGTTCTAGTTCTGTTCTAGTTCTGTTCTAGTTCTGTTCTAGTTCTGTTCTAGTTCTGTTCTAGTTCTGTTCTAGTTCTGGTCTAGTTCTGTTCTAGTTCTGTTCTAGTTCTGTTCTAGTTCTGTTCTAGTTCTGTTCTAGTTCTGTTCTAGTTCTGTTCTAGTTCTGTTCTAGTTCTGTTCTAGTTCTGTTCTAGTTCTGTTCTAGTTCTGTTCTAGTTCTGTTCTAGTTCTGTTCTAGTTCTGTTCTAGTTCTGTTCTAGTTCTGTTCTAGTTCTGTTCTAGTTCTGTTCTAGTTCTGTTCTAGTTTCTGTTCTAGTTCTGTTCTAGTTCTGTTCTAGTTCTGTTCTAGTTCTGTTCTAGTTCTGTTCTAGTTCTGTTCTAGTTCTGTTCTAGTTCTGTTCTAGTTCTGTTCTAGTTCTGTCTAGTTCTGTTCTAGTTCTGTTCTAGTTCTGTTCTAGTTCCTGTTCTAGTTCTGTTCTAGTTCTGTTCTAGTTCTGTATCTAGTTCTGTCTAGTTCTGTTCTAGTTCTGTTCTAGTTCTGTTCTAGTTCTGTTCTAGTTCTGTTCTAGTTCTGTTCTAGTTCTGTTCTAGTCTGTTCTAGTTTCTGTTCTAGTTCTGTTCTAGTTCTGTTCTAGTTCTCTTCTAGTTCTGTTCTAGTTCTAGCACTGTTCTAGTACTGTTCTAGTTCTGTTCTAGTTTCTAGTTCTAGTTCTGTTCTAGTTCTGTTCTAGTTCTGTTCTAGTTCTGTTCTAGTTTGTTCTAGTTCTGTTCTAGTTCTGTTCTAGTTCTGTTCTAGTTCTGTTCTAGTTCTGTTCTAGTTCTGTTCTAGTTCTGTTCTAGTTCTGTTCTAGTTCTGTTCTAGTTCTGTTCTAGTTCTGTTCTAGTTCTAGTACTGTTCTAGTACTGTTCTAGTACTGTTCTAGTTCTGTTCTAGTTCTGTTCTAGTTCTGTTCTAGTTCTGTTCTAGTTCTGTTCTAGTTCTGTTCTAGTTCTCTTCTAGTTCTGTTCTAGTTCTAGCACTGTTCTAGTACTGTTCTAGTTCTGTTCTAGTTCTGTTCTAGTTCTGTTCTAGTTCTGTTCTAGTTCTGTTCTAGTTCTGTTCTAGTTCTGTTCTAGTTCTGTTCTAGTTCTGTTCTAGTTCTGTTCTAGTTCTGTTCTAGTTCTGTTCTAGTTCTGTTCTAGTTCTGTTCTAGTTCTGTTCTAGTTTCTAGTTCTGTTCTAGTTCTGTTCTAGTTCTGTTCTAGTCTGTTCTAGTTTGTTCTAGTTCTGTTCTAGTGCTGTTCTAGTCTGTTCTAGTCGTCTAGTTCTGTTCTAGTCACTGTCTAGTACTGTTCTAGTTCTGTTCTAGTTCTGTTCTAGTTCTGTTCTAGTTCTGTTCTAGTTCTGTTCTAGTTCTGTTCTAGTTCTGTTCTAGTTCTGTTCTAGTTCTGTTCTAGTTCTGTTCTAGTTCTGTTCTAGTTCTAGGTTCTAGTTCTGTTCTAGTTCTGTTCTAGTTCTGTTCTAGTTCTGTTCTAGTTCTGTTCTAGTTCTGTTCTAGTTCTGTTCTAGTTCTAATACTGTTCTAGTATCTGTTCTAGTACTGTTCTAGTTCTGTTCTAGTTGTGTTCTAGTTCTGTTCTAGTTCTGTTCTAGTTCTAGTACTGTTCTAGTACTGTTCTAGTATGTTCTAGTGTGTTCTAGTTCTGTTCTAGTTCTGTTCTAGTTCTGTTCTGTTCTGTTCTAGTTCTGTTCTAGTTCTGTTCTAGTTCTGTTCTAGTTCTGTTCTAGTTCTGTTCTAGTTCTGTTCTAGTTCTGTTCTAGTTCTGTTCTAGTTCTGTTCTAGTTCTGTTCTAGTTCTGTTCTAGTTCTGTTCTAGTTGTTCTAGTTCTGTTCTAGTTCTGTTCTAGTTCTGTTCTAGTTCTGTTCTAGTTCTGTTCTAGTTCTGTTCTAGTTCTGTTCTAGTTCTGTTCTAGTTATGTTCTAGTTCTGTTCTAGTTCTGTTCTAGTTGTTTAATTCTAGTTCATTGCTGAATCTATTCTAATATAGCGTTATTTTCATCCTTTTGTAGTCCTTCATTTATTCTAATTTTGAAAATAATAAAAACCCATACAGCAACTTCCTAAAAATGTGGTTTCCTTTATATCAGTTGCTTCTGCCATAAACTTTTTCTAATAACACACAAGTTTATGGTTTTTGCTGTTGCCAAAAAGGTAACTAAGTTTTTATCCAATTTATTTACAATACACAAGCAATACCTAAACACTTTCCTAAAATAAAATACACCAACTAACACCTTTATGCAAACTTTATATAGTTTTATCATTATATAGTTTTCTTATACGTATGTATGTTAAACAAAAAAAAAAAGTACAATAAAAATAAAATCTAATTTCCTTTGCCACAAACACCATAACAACGATAATAAAATATGAAAATTTATCTGCAAGCTTCAAATTGATTTAAATGAAATTTATATTTTTTACAACAGTAGCAGAGTTTATGGCCTAAATAGACTCGGCTATTTATAGCCTAGATTCTGGCTGTAATTAAAGAAATATTTGATTTTTATTTTAACTTTTATTGAAACTCGATTAACTTTTTTGAAAATATTAAAGACATTTTTTAAAGATTCGATTTTAATTAAATTCGTCTATATAGACTAGACTATAGTCTAGACTATAGACTAGACTATAGACTAGACTATAGACTAGACTATAGACTAGACTATATACTAGACTATAGACTAGTCTAAAAGACTAAGACTACTAAGACGAGACTATAAACTAGACTATAGACTAGACTATAGACTAAGACCTATAAGCTAGACTATAAACGAGACTATAGAACTAGACTACTAGACTAGAACTATAGCACCTAGACTATAGACTAGACTATATACGAGAACTATAGACTAGTACGATAGACTAGAACTATAGACTAGACTACTAGACTAGACTATAGACTAGACTATAGACTAGAATATAGGACTAGACTATAGACTAGAACCTATAGAACTAGACTATAGACTAGACGATGAGAATAGACTATAGACTAAGACTATAGACTAGACTATAGACAAGACTATGAACTAGACTATAGGACTAGACTAGAGACTAGACGATAGACTAGACTAAGACAGACTATACTATAGACGATAGACTATAGACTAGACTAGAGACTAGACTATAGACGAGAACATAGACTAGAGACTAGACTAGACTATAGACTGAGACTATAGACTAGACTATAGACTAGACTATAGACTATACTATAGACTAGACCGATAGACTAGACTATAGACTAGACTATAGACTAGACTATAGACTAGACTATAGACTAGACTATAGACTAGACTATAGACTAAGATAGACTAAACTATAGACTATAATAGACTAGACTATAGACTAGACTATAGACTAGACTATAGACTAGACTATAGACTATACTATAGACTAGACTATAGACTAGACTATAGACTAGACTATAGACTAGACTATGACTAGACTATAGACTAGACTATAGACTAGACTATAGACTAGACTATAGACTAGACTATAGACTAGACTATAGACTAGACTATAGACTAGACTAGACTAGACTATAGACTAGACTATAGACTAGACTATAGACTAGACTATAGACTAGACTATAGACTAGACTATAGACTAGACTATAGACTAGACTATAGACTAGACTATAGACTAGACTATAGACTAGACTATAGACTAGACTATAGACTAGACTATAGACTAGACTATAGACTAGACTATAGACTAGACTATAGACTAGACTATAGACTAGACTATAGACTAGACTATAGACTAGACTATAGACTAGACTATCGACTAGACTATAGACTAGACTATAGACTAGACTATAGACTAGACTATAGACTAGACTATAGACT